AGCGCGCCGCCGGCCGTCGCGCGCCACCCGCGCCCAGCTGGCCGCCCTTCGTCCGTCTCCGGTCGGGGCGGTTCACATGGTGCAGCGCGTACTGCCGCCGCTCACTGCGCGCGCTGCCTCAGGGCGACCGTCTCCCAGCTGAGGGGCGCTGCACGTACCGCCGCCGCTCACTGCGCGCGCTGTCTCAGGGCGACCGTTTCCCAGCTGAGGGGCGCTGCACGTACTGCCGCCACTCACTGCGCGCGCTGCCTCAGGGCGACCGTCTCCCAGCTGCGGGGCGCTGCACGTACTGCCGCTGCTCACTGCGCGCGCTGCCTCAGGGCGATCGTCTCCCAGCTGCGGGGCGCTGCACGCGCGCGGAGTCCCAGCAGCGCTACCTCGCGCTCACCGCGCACCTGGCCGGACTTGCTTCTCTCGTTCACTGTACTTTCATTTCTCTAAGTGTTCTCTTCACCTCTCTCTTTATATAATTGTCTCGTTCGCTTCTCTAATTCACTGCACACTGGGCCAGGAGACAACTCGCTCGTTCACTACACACTGGGCCAGGAGACAGGTCTCTTGTTCAATGTGAGTTGTATATGAAGAAATAATGTACGTATATGACCAAGCTAGGAGGCTTAGTTGCGGGTGAAAACTTGTCAGTTGATACTTGCAAAAAGACGAATATCACCTGAAAAATATGTCAAATATGCATTCCAAGGCTGAAACTTTCATTGAGATATCAACTTGCTTTGACCTGGTTAAGTGCAGGGGGAATGCGTATTGATTTATTTGTAACTTTCACGCATACTTCTGGCGTCTTTTCAGTCTCAGTAAGAGTTTTCTCTACAGGTAAGAACGTACCAAAAGTAGAACTATGTTCCTTGCGCTGGTATACGGAACATTATATGAGTTTAACGAGGTCGGCTTTGGTCTTTCAATGGCTAAATACACAACTTGGTCATTTTCACTTGGAATGGCTCGCACACTTATGGAATCATCCGACGCACGGATTATCATGACATCAATTCTTAACTACAATTTCCAGCTTTAAACAACCGCCACGAATGAGGTATACATGTCTGAATACCATTATAGCGATAGGGAAAATTCCGTCTGTCTCCTTAAAACAAATGTGTTACATGTTTTGAAAATGTAATGTCAGTGGGTTGCGTACTTCACTAAATCGATCACTTTTCCTCTTGGGGTAACTGCGACAGTATTGCAGTTCATCTATGATTTGTGACGTTACTTGGCTTGCCGTAACATTATACAAACAGAATGACTCTATAAGTTGTTAAGTGCGTTTGCGAGGAGCATCATTCACATAGATACAAAAGTAGTAATAGCCTCATTCCTCACAGACAAACCAGAAGAATGGGAATATAGATGCTTTGATATTTCAACAACATGCCTTTATCGAACCAATAGCTCACATAAGTAGCTTAAAAATTGCCTGCCGATAATCATGCTCGATTTTTCAGGTTTTGTTTTAAACAGCGGGCCACCGTTTTTACAAGACATCGGCATACAAAGGATTCAACCACGAAATGGCCAGCCACTACTACCGATACAGAGCATATCTGGCTAATTCTTGGTTACACTGCATATTTGTAATTCTTATTTAGATATGCGTTGCACCGGTAGTAGTGGCTGGCCCTTGCTCCTGGTTTAATCCCCTGAGTGTTGGTTTCCTGAAAAAATGTGGCTCGCTGTTTCTAAAAAAAAAACAACAGTAAAATCGAGTGAAATCATCGGCAGGAAATTTTGAATTCCCTTCTGCTGTTGTTTCGATGAAGGCGTACTTTCGAAACATCAAGGCATCTATGTCTCCATTTTCACGGTTTTTTCTTCGCGGGATGAGGCCTTTACTGTTTTTACTCTTATCTGTTAAAACGAATCCGTGTTTTACGTCTTGTTGGCTGCAACCACTCTTTTTTAACCACTAGAAACAACTTACAACACAATCACGCACCATCGCAGAACTCAAGACAGTGAATGCTGAAAATGTTATACCACAGTCAATGGTGTCAACTCATTTCAACAACAAGAAGTCCGACTGTTGATAATTCAGTCCAACTGTTCGGCTTTCAGGTACCAACATGTCAGCCACGTAACTCAATCCTTCAGAAGGGTCGTGTGCATGCACTTCGTGCCTGATTTGTGTGCATTCCATTTCTAGTGCCCCATATTATTTTTAATTTATTTGATGCAACTTCTCAATGTTCATGTTCATTATTATGTATAATCATCATTATGATATCATTTTAATCAAGTCAATACATACCTCAATATCATGACATGCCCAATATCACCAGATGGCATAGATGATGGCATTTGTAGCGACCCTCGTATTCGCAGAAGTTAGATGTAGCACGTAGCATCATGTTGAAAAATGTTAGAACATTATTATTCAAATAAGACTCCGTACGTTTTCCTCCCCATCGGCACTTTTAAGCTTTCAGGGAGCCATATTCTGTTGGGGAGCACTTGACGTCCTAGAATCCTTTCGGATCCACTGACAAAATAGAACCGGAATGGGGCATCTTCCTTGCATAATCACTCTGCTGAGCGGTACTGCCATTCATAAAAGTCCCCCTAATTAATTAAAATATCACCGCGGCAGACTTGTAAGCCGACTGGATCTAGAGCATGGCTGGGCGGATTTCGCCGGCTGGAAAACTTGTTCAAAGGTTGAATCTTTACCCCGTAGCAAGCATTTCCCAGAGGATGGCCCGTACAAACAGAGCCACGTCGCCTGCGGACGATGGCAAGACTTAACTCCACAGACTTGCCGGCATCCGCCCCGAGCGCGGCATCTCGGGTCATCCGCGAGCGCGCGCTCGGGGGCGGTGGGAGACCGAGTCATCCGGCCCGGCCGTCGGACACGCCCCCTTCCGGGCAAGTTATCGGCCAAAGTTGACGGCGCCTCATGCCAGCCACAAACTCCGGTCGCCGCGACTGCCGCCGGCGGACAGCTCTGGCCCAGCGCGGCGGCCGCTTCGTCATCATGGTGCCGGCGTGCGCCGCAATGACAGCCAGCCGACACCCGTCATCTCAAGGGCTGGGCTCAAAAACGGGAGCCACGACGCCTTTCAAATAGAGCGGGGACGCAAGCATGATAACTGGTAAGAATGTTGGGCCGAAGCTTTCAGTCGGCGTCCTTCGTACGCACACGACATGGCTTCCTGGCACGCATGTGATTTGTCGCATCTTACCAGATGCAATCCGATCTGATCCGCTCCCAGCCGTGATTATAGGACGGTCCAAATCAGACGCCAGCTGGCCACCCTGAAAACAAAGCTGTACACCAGCCGTGCACACAGATGAAGTCTGCGGCCGACATCAGCCGTCGGCAGATGGCCGGGTCGACCCGGCGCGGACAATGCGGCAGCGGCGGCGGCAGCGCCTGGCCGCCGCCGCCATCAGCCCGCCGGCGGTCCGATCACCACTCACGGCGCCCGAGAGGCGTTCATTGCGGCTCGATCGATGGCGCCGCCGCTGACGCAGTGCCGTGACAAACGGGGCGCGGGCACGAGCTGTTGCACAGCCACAGACGACCGCTGCCGGTCGGACGCGACGGCACGCTCGCCGCTGACGCCGGGCTGGCGCGACGGCGGACCCGGCGGACACCGCGCGGACGCGGCGGTGCGGACCAAGCAGAGCAGGCCACGCGTGCCAAGCAAACGCTGCGCTGGCACAGCAGCGGACCCGGCAAACAGAGCACAGGCGCGACAGCGGACCCGGCAAACAGAGCACCGGCATGACGGGAGACCCGGCAGACGGAGCACTCGCACGCCAGCAGACCTGGCAGATAGAGCACTGGCACGCCAGCAGGCACGCGGCGAAGACAATGAACCGACAGCAGACCCGGCGAGCACCGTGCCATTCCGGTAGACCGGGCAGCAACA